TAGTAAAATGGGGAAAAAAGGAAATAAAAAAACGTATAAACATATGAAACAAAGTATTTAAGAGATTTAGGTGTGATGGTTGAATTGATTAGAGGGGGGGGGGAAGGAGCAAGTTTGTAAAGTAAACGTAGTAAAGGTGAGACAGACACCAAAAAAATTAGGCAGACAGAAAAAACGTATTGAAGACATGACAGAGAAAAAGCAAAGACACGGAGATACTAAAACAGACTACAGACCAAGACCACAAAGGCAAGACAGACTGACAGAACATGATATGAAGGAAGTAGGGATTATGAGCGGGAGGCTTATGAGCGAACTACTAGTACTTATAAGACTACTAAGACTAATACTATACTAGTATACATAAAGAAAAACAGGATATAATAATAATGATAATAAGAAAGTAACAAGAGATAATAATAATAATTCATAATTAATATTAAATTAAAACTCACAGCCGTGTAGTCGGTAACAAGAAGATAATAAAACACCATAATTCAGAATAAAATAAAATAAAATAAATAAAATAAAATGATTCAATAAGATAATAATATCATCATAATTATAATAAAACAAAAAACAAATCCACAGCCGTGTAGTCAGCGCATGAAGCTGCTCGACCCGACCAGATGGTGAGGGGAATGAAGCAACTGGTAGGGGTGCCTCATGTGGTTGAAGGAAGCACCAGGAGCTGGACGCCAGACTTGCTCGAGTTGGCGCTGTTGTCTTCGTTCCTCGCCCGAAGCGGGAGAGGGGAAACGGGCTAGAATCTGATGAAGAGTTTATGAGTGTATAATTATAATTTTTTCTTCTTTTTTGCCTTCGTCGAAATGTGGAGGGGGAAACGAGCTTAGAACCTCGAAGAAGAGTTTTATGAGTGTAATACATTTTTTTCTTTCTTTTTTGAGTTTAAATGAGTGTATATATATTTTTCTTTCTTTTTTTTCCCTTTTTCTTTCTGAAACTGGGAGGGGGAAACGAGCTTAGAATCTGATGAAGAGTTTTTGGTGAGTGTATAAATATTCTTTTTTTTTCTTTTCTTTTTTCTGTTTTTGCTTTGTCGAAACTTTTAGAATTTTTGGTGAGTGTATTATATTTTTCTTCCTTCGTCGAACTGGAGGGGGAGAGAATCCGAAGAAGGTTTGGTGAGTTATATATTTTTCTTTCTTTTTTTTTGTTTTGCTTCGTCGAAACTGGAGGGGGAAACGAGCTTAGAATCTGAAGAAGAGTTTGGTGAGTGTATATATATTTTTTCTTTTTTGTTTTTGTTTTGCCTTCGTCGAAGCTGGGGAGGGGGAAACGAGCTTAGAATCTGAAGAAGAGTTTGGTGAGTGTATATATATTTTTCTTTTTTTGTTTTTGTTTTGCCTTCGTCGAAACTGGAGGGGGAAACGAGCTTAGAATCTGAAGAAGAGTTTATTGAGTGTATAATTTTTTTTCTTTTTTTTTTTTGCCTCGTCGAATTTAGATGAGATTTATATATATATATTTTTTCTTTTTTTTTTTTTTGCCTTCGTCGAAGCTGGAGGGGGAAACGAGCTTAGAATCTGAAAGAAGAGTTTGGTGAGTGTATATATATTTTTCTTTCTTTTGTTTTTGTTTTGCCTTGTCGAAACTGGAGGGGGAAACGAGCTTAGAATCTGAAGAAGAGTTTAATGAGTGTATAATAAATTTTTTTTCTTTTTTTTTTTTTTTCCTTCGTCGAAACTGTAGAGGGAAACGAGCTTAAAAATTGAAAAAGTTTAATTAGCATATATATGTTTTTATTATCATTATTTATTTGTATCTATTTATTCATTATCTTTTGGCTTCCTTCGAAATATGTGGTAAAGGGGGTAGACGAGGCTAAAATTTTAGGAACGATGAATTCCAGTCATTTTCGTCATCTTTGCCGAAACTGCGAAGGCAAAAAAAGGAAAAGAAAGAAAGATATATATATACTAATTAAACTATTTTGAAGTTTTGGAAAGGTTTTTATTTCTTTATCGTTTCCTCGTCGCTGAAGATGGGGTTGAATCTCCTGTCATTGTGGCATATATCCCCCCTCAAAAAAAAAAAAAAAAAAAAAAAAAAAAAAAAAATAATAATGAAATGAAAATCTAAAAAAAAAAAAATGAAGAAAATTAATGATAAATGAAAAAAAAATAAATAAAATAATAAAAGATATATAATAAAAAATAAAAACAATAAAAAAAAATAAATAAATAAAAATTAAACTAAACAAAAAAAAAATCCACACCTTTTGAGAGGATCCACAAAGAGGACGATAATGACGGAGGCGAAGAGGGAGAAGCAGAGGTAGATGGAGGCCATGGTGTAGATCTGCCACTTGGGGATCTGGTCGTCCTCGCTGGAAGACGTGGCGTTGGAGCTGCCGGTCGTGTTCTGGTCCCAAGGGCAGAAGTTGATGCCGCACACAGCCAGGTCGGCCTCGGTCTTGTTCGGCGCGCCCACGCCCACGGAGAGCACTGCGTGTGTGTGTGGTGTGTGTGTGTGGTTTTTTTTTTTTTTTTTTTTTTTGAGGGGAGGGGAAGGGGGAAGGGGGAGGGGTGTTAGGGGGGTGGGGGAGGGGGTAGGGGTAGGGGGAGGGGGGAGAGAGAGGAAAGTTGATTATTATGAGGATGTAGTTTTTCACATATATATATACTTATTCATTTAAATATATTATTCATTTTTTGGTTATCGAAGTCCTATGTACACACACACACGCACACACACACAACACCCACAGTGCACACACAACACACACACACACACACACACACACACACACACACTTCACACACACAACCAACAAACACACCACGACGACACACAACACACACACACAAAAAAAAAAAACATGACACACCACACACAACAAAAAAAATCAACAACACACACACACACCAACTCTCACCCCCCCCCACACACAACGCGCATCTCAACGCGAAGAGATGAGGTCCCCCAAACACACACAAAACACACGCAACACCACCCAAAACAACCCACACCCACCCACACAACACACAAATCACACACAAAAACAAAAAAAAAAAAAAAAAATCACACACACACACACACACACAATACCACAAAATACACACACGCACAAAAAAAATCAACAGCACGCCCACACTTACCCGACGAGGAGATGAGGTTCCCCCCCCCCCTACCACACACCTCACCCCCCCGCACAACACCACCACACACAACGCCCATTCCTCACCGAGGAAGAGATGAGGTTCCCCCAGACTGCGTCGACTGGAAGAACAGAAGAAGATCCCGAAGAAGCGGGTAATGATCACTCGCTGTCCTCTCCACGAGCTCGCCGTACATGGCTCCGACTAAGCGAGAAATAGGTTTATTTTATTATTTATCATTATTTATTTAAGTTTCAGCTCGAATTATTTATCAAAGCGAGAGAATGGGTTTTAGTTTATTTATTTATCATTATCTATTTTACCTTATTATTTATTTATTTATTATTTATTTATTTATTTATTATTTATTATTTATTTATTCTTTATTATTATTAGTTATTGATTTATTATTATTTATTTATTTATTTAAGTTTCTGCTCGAATTATTTATCCTAAGCGAGAGAAGGGGAATTATTATTTATTTATCATTATTTATTTACTTTATTTATTTATTTATCTTATTTGTTTATTTATTTTAGTATTTATTTTATTAGTTTATGATTTATTATTTATTTATTTATTTATTAAGTTTGCTCGAAATTAATTATCTAAAGCGAGAAAATGGTTTTATTTTTTATTTATCATTAATTTATTTTAGTTTCTGCTCGAATTATTTATCCAAAGCGAGAGAATGGGTTTGTTATTTATTTATCATTATTATTTACTTATTTTTTATTTATTTTATTTATATTATTTATTATTTATTATTTATTATTTATCTATTATTATTAGTTATTGATTTTATTATTTATTTATTTTATTTATTTTAAGTTTCTGCTCGAATGATTTAATCCCAAGCGAGAAGAAGGCGATTATTATTTATTTATCATTAATTTAATTTCCTTATTTCTTTATTATTTATTTATTATTTTTTATTATTTATTATTATTAGTTATGATTTATTATTTTATACCGCCCTCTTATTTATTTAAGATTTCTGCTCGGAATCATTTTTCCTAAGCGAAGAAGGGAATTATTTATTTATTATTTGTTATTATTTTTTGTTTTTTGTTTGTTTGTTCAGCTCGAATGGTTAGAGAAAACTTTTTTTTTTATTATTTATTTATTTATTTTTTTGTTTCAGCTGGAATGGTTATAGAAGGGATTTATTTTATTCATTTATTATATTTTATTTTTGTTTTAATTTAATTTTTTATTTTAATTATTTATTTATTTAATTATTTTTATATTATTATATTTTTTTAAAGTTTCAGCTCGAATGGTTAGAGAAAACAGGTTTATAAAATTTAATTTTTATTTTATTTTATATTTATTTTTTTTAGTTTCAGTTGGAATGGTTATAGAAGGCAAAGTTTTTTTAATTTCTTTTTTATTTTTTTTTAGTTACAGCTCGAATAGATCAGAAAAGTTTTATTTAATTATTAATTAATTATTTATTATTATTATTTAAGTTACAGCTTCGAATGGTTTTAGAAAAAATACAGCTCGAATGATTATAGAAAACTTTTTTTTTATCTTACTTATTTTTTATTTCATTTATTTGTTTATATATTTATTATTTACAGCTCGAATGGATATAGAAAACATTTTTTTTTTTTTTTTTTTTTTTTGTCGCAGCTCGAATGGTTCTAGAAAACAAGGATTTTTATTTTATTCCATTTATTATTAATTAAAATTAGTTACAGCCCGAATAGTTATAGATCTTTTTTTCCTTTTTTTCTTAATTACATCATTTTTTTCATAATAACATCATTGATACGCTTCAGTGACGTTGAGAATCCATACAGCGTGAAATCAGTGACTTCCAAACAAGGTCGTTACAGCTGCAGTCTGAATGGTCGTTAGAGCATGAATGATTGTTATGGCGAGAGTGGTCTTTAATAGAACGAATGGCCGTTACAGCACGAGCGGTTGTTACAGTGGATGGTCGTTAGAACGCGTATAGTCGATTAAGCACAAACGGTCGTTACATCACAAATGGTCGTTAAATTACGAATAGTTTTTTTTTACAGCAGAAATGGTCGTCGGAGTACGAATAGTTGTGACGCGAATGACCGTTATAGGACGGGTGGTCGTTATAGCAGAGTGGTTGTTACAATGATCGTTACAGAGCGAATGGTCGTTATAGCAGAGTGGTTGTTATAGCGCTCATGCCCATTACAAACGGTGGTCGTTTGGTTGTTACAATGGCGTTACAGAGCGACGTTATAGCACGCGTTATAGAGAGTGGGTTGTTACAATGGTCGTTACAGAGCGAATGGTCGTTATAGCACGGGTGGTCGTTATAGCAGAGTGGTTGTTACAATGGTCGTTACAGAGCGAATGGTCGTTATAGCACGGGTGGTCGTTATAGCAGAGTGGTTGTTACAATGGTCGTTGACAGGCGAATGGTCGTTATAGCAACGGGTGGTCGTATACGCAGAGTGTTGTTTACAATGGTCGTACAGAGCGAATGGTCGTTATAGCAGGGTGGTCGTTATAGAAGAGTGTTGTTACAATGGTCGTGCAGAGCGAATGTCGTTATACCACGGAGTCGTTATAGAGAGTGGTTTTACAATGTCGTAAACAGAGGCGAATGGTCGTTATAGCAGGTGGTCGTTAATAGCAGAGTGGTTGTTAATGGTCGTTAAGAGCGAATGCGTCGTTACTGCATGGGTGGTCGTTATAGAGGGTTGTTACAATGTCTTACAGAGCGAATGGTCGTTATAGCAATGGGTGGGTCGTATGCAAGTGGTTGTTACAATGGTCGTTACAGAGGACATGGTCGTTAAAGCATGGGTGGTCGCTTTATAGCAGAGTGTTGTTAAACATGGTCGTTACAGAGCGGATGGTCGTTTATAGCACGTGGTTGGTCGTGGTTTTTTTATAAAGCAAAAGAGTGGTTGTTAAATGGGTAGTTACAGAGCGAATGGGTCGGTAAATGCACGGGTGGTCGTAATAGCAGAGTGGTTGTTAAAATGGTCGTTAAGAGCGAAATGGTGTTAAGACGGGTGTGCGTTAATAAAGCTCATGCCCATTACAAACGGTTACAGAGTGCATGGTCGTTATAAGAGAATGAATTAGAACTAAGTCTTTAATCGCCGTTACAATGATGTTAGGGCGACGGTCACGTACTATATCGCTGTACTGGTTGTTAATGTTAATCGCCATTATGGTGCTAATTGCCAGAATGGTGTATAACGGGAGTGATCGTTAACAGCATGGTCGTACTTAGCAGTGTCGTTATAGCACGGATGGGGCGTGACAACTAATGGTCGTTATATCGCCAGTGGTCGTAGAACAGACGAGTGTGTAATAATAATAGAGGAATAGTCCGTTACAACAAACTTATGACTTTAAAACTGTTAAAACTTATGACTTTAAAAACTTTAAAACTATGCTTTAAACCTTTAAAACTTATGAATTTAAAAAACTTAAAAACTTAGTGACTTTTAACGACCCCTTATCAAGTTTGTATCATTTCCAAATAATAATAATAATAATATAAGAAATTAAAAAAGAACTAACAGGTAACAAATTACTAAATAAAAAAACGATTAAGAACAAACAAACAACAAACGATAACAACCAGAACGGCAAACAAATAAATAAAAACGAAAAATAAACAAACGCAAACAAACGATAACAACCCAATAAAGAAATGATAAATAAAAAACGAATAACAAACCACAACAAACGATACAACCCAGAATAAACAGGTAAACAAATAAATAAAAAACGAAAAGAAACAAACAACAACGACGATAACAACCCCATAAAAGAAACTGATAAATAAAAAACGAATAAAGAAACAAACCAAACAAACAGACGATAACAACCAATAAAAGAAACTGATAAATAAAAACGAATAAAGAAACAAACCAAACAAACAACGATAACAACCCCAATAAAAGCAACTGTAATAAAAAACGAATAAATAACAACAAACAGACGATAACAACCAATAAAAGAAACTGATAATAAAAACGAATAAAAAACAACAGACGATAACACCCAATAAAAGAAACTGATAAATAAAAAACGAATAAACAAACAAACAAACAGACGATAACAACCCAATAAAAGAAAACAAATAAAAAAACGAATAAACAAACCAAACAAACAAACAGACGATAACAACCCCAATAAAAGAACAATAAATAAAACGAATAACAAACAAACAAACAGACGATAACAACCCAATAAAAGAAACAAATAAATAAAAACGAATAAACAAACAACCAACAAACAGACGATAACAACCCCCAATAAAAGAGAAACTGACCTTCGTCAAGTAGGTGCACTTGGCCGACCACATGGGCGCTGCTCCCATGCCCAGAATGATGGCCGTGGGCACGAGCGTGTAGATCTCCGGGTAGAATTGGGCGGCTATGTAGGTCGAGTAGCCCAGCATGCAGAGCGCCATGGTGTATTTGGTCCTCAGCTTCTTGATGAGCCAAGAGGGGACGAAGCAGCAGGAGACGACGAGGGCGGCGTAGAGGGTGGAGAGGGAGGCTGTGCCGTCACTCTGGGGGGGGGGGGGGGGAGAGGAGAGAGGGTCAGGTTCAAGGTTCGAAAATTTGAAGTGAGAATTGTGAATTCGAGTTTCAAATTCAGGATTCGAAATTGAGTGGAGAATTCTGGATATTTTCAAAATTTCAAGTTTTCAGAAATTTTGAATTGAGAATTGTGAATTTCAATTTTCAATTCAAAGTTCGAAAAATTAGTTTGAGAATTAAGTTTAAGTTTCAAATGTTTTTTCAAAATTTGATATTAAGGATCTGGATATTTAAATTCAAAAAATTTGAAATGAGAATTCGGAATTCAAGTTTCAAATTCAAGATTCGAGATTTGAATTGAGAATTGAGAAAAACATTGCAAGACAACGAAATGAGAAAAAATAAGATTATTTCAAGACAAGAAAGAAAAAAAAAAAAAAAAAAAAAAAAAAAAACGAAAAACCTACTCGTTAATCGAAGACTGAAGGTTCGCCATCGAATTGTAACTGGTGAAGAGGAAGACGAAAGCAATGGAGATGATGACAATATTCTTCAGGATCTTCAGTCGCAGCGTCTTCTTCTCCGCCTCCGAAAGGTTGCTGTATTTCGAGACCGCTGCGACGCCATTTTGTTTGGCCGGGGCTGCGCGGGAGAGAAAAGACAAAAGAAGGTTAGGATGCGTGGTGTCCGGTTCTGTTCCTTCTACTTTTGGCGGAACTATAAATTACATATATGTAATAAATTATATCTATCTATATTACATATATTAGCTATCTATCTAATACATATACATTTATATATTATTGTTTATTATTGTTCAACCTATTATCATTTAATCTGTTTGTTTTTTTATTTTGTCTATTTATCTCTTTTGGCTTTTCCCTTAATCAATACTAATAAATTTTTATATATTATATATATTTATATATTTTATATATATTTATATATTGCAAGACACATACGAATTATTGCACATATTGAAAACTCTATATAAGGAAGTATTATAACAACAAAAACAACAAATCGTGTTTTTCCTGTTTTTTTCTTCACTTATTTGTTCACAATTTGTTTAATGTGATTTTCCTTATCCTTTTCTTTTAACTTCTTATCGTTGTTTATTTATCTACTTAGTTTTTCCTTGTTTTTTTTTTCTTTTATCAAATCATAAAAAAATGAGTCAATATTATCTTAAAAAAAAAAAAACTTTTTGGCGCAAATTCATTCCTAAATATTTATTTTCAAGTGAATAAGTGAACGATTTTTTTTTAATTCTGTAACTATATATTTTTTAAATGTTATAAATTAGTTTTCTGATTTTCAACATTTTTAGCCTTTTAGATATAGGCGTAAATTTTTTTCCTCATTTAAATTTACTTATACATTTATACTTGTAAGATTTAATTATTAATTTATCTTCAATAATTTAACAAAACGTAATAATAATAAATATATATATATTTACTACCCAAATCAACCACAAAAAATATAACAATAATAAATAAGTAAATATTCCCCCCCCAAAAAAAAAAAAAAAAAACATTATATCATAACAACATATTACGTAAATATTCCTAAAAAAAAAAAAAAAAAAAAAAAAACTATATATAAATCATTAATAAAATTACCGTAACCACACTTAAGATAATTATCTCTACGCTATCCTACACCTTTATAAAAAAAAAAAAAAAAAAAAAAAAATTACATGACCGACATAGGCCTATAACTGTAGAAAAAAATAACGACATAGGCCTATAACTGTAGAAAAAAAAAAACCGACATAGGCCTATAACTGTAGAAAAAAAATAATAACCGACATAGGCCTATAACTGTAGAAAAAATATAACCGACATGGCCTATAACTAGAAAAAAATAATAACCGACATAGGCCTATAACTGTAGAAAAAAAATAATAACCGACATAGGCCTATAACTGTAGAAAAAAAAATAATAACCGACATAGGCCTATAACTGTAGAAAAAAATAATAACCGACATAGGCCTATAACTGTAGAAAAAAATAATAACGACATAGGCCTTATAACTGTAGAAAAAAATATAACAACATAGGCCTATAACTGGAAAAAAAACCCGACATAGGCCTATAACTGTAGAAAAAAAATAATAACACATAGGCCTATAACTGTAGAAAAAAAATAACAGACATAGGCCTATAAACTGTAAAAAAAAACCGACATAGGCCTATAACTGTAGAAAAAAATTAATAACCGACATAGGCCTATAACTGTAGAAAAAAAATAATAACCGACATAGGCCTATAACTGTAGAAAAAAAAATAAGGCTATAACTGTAGAAAAAAAATCACCGACATAGGCCTATAACTGTACCTCACGAGAGAAAGTTCCATTTTGTTCACTCGACCTTGGATAAAAGGCATTTGTAATTAATCTGTTTGTTTGAGACAGGAGTGAAAGGTGAGGATTTGGTGGAAGAAAAACAATGATACTTCAAAATAGATGTTTTTTGTGAGTGTGTTGTGAGGGAAGTGTTAATTGAGGAATAAATATGTTTTCTTTTCTTTTTTTTACATTTTCTTTGTTGGTTTTGTTGTGTATTTGTTTTCATCTCTCTTTTCTGTTCGTCTTTGTATTTATCTTTCTTTTTTTTCTCTCTCTGTCTATGCTCTCTTTCTCTCTTTCTTTCTTTCTTTCTTCTTTTCTTCTCTTTTCTTTCTCTTTCTCTCTCCTCTCTTCTCTTTCTCTTTCTCTTTTCTCTTTCTCTTTCTCTCTCTCTTTCTTCTTTCTCTTTCTCTTTCTCTTTCTCTTTCTCTTTCTCTTTCTCTTTCTCTCTCTCTCTCTCCTCTCCCTCTCTTTCCTCTTCTCCTCTCTCTCCTCTCTCTCTCTATGTGTGTGTGTATGTGTGTCTGCTACACAGATACACACACACGTAAACACAACACACAACACCTTCCCAGACCCCCGACCCCCCACCCCCCCTCATGCCACCCCTCAACAGCAATTACAGAACACATAACCACCAAACAGCCGAAATAAGTACCCAGACACTGTATACATAGTTCATTCCAAGCAGATCATGCCCTACGCGGTGCCCGTTAAACCAACAAGTAAACATACGATAAGAAAATTGTATGATCTTACATTGAACAATATCAACACCTAAGACCCCCATATGTATAAGAATAACTTATGCCTCGGACCCTCATATACTAGCTCTCGCCGCATTGCGCCGGCCCAGATTTCCGGACGAACCACACAGTATCGTTGCCACACAGACACACACGCACGCACACAGACACACACGCCACACAGACACACACACACACACACACACAAGACAGACACACACACACACTCAAATCACACAAATACACAAGCACACACTCACACACGCACACACACACACACACAACACACACACGCCAACAGACCACCACACGCACACACACACAAACACACACTCACAAACACAACACACACACACACACACACAGCACACACGCACACACACACACCACACACAAACCAAAACATACACACTCTCTCTCTCTCTCTCCTCACACACACACACGCACACCACACGCCCCTCAACCCCACACACACACACCACACACACACAACACACACACACACACACGCACACACACACACACACACCACACACACACAACACACAAAAAAATCAACTACACACACACACACACCACACACACAACAAACACAGCGCTACACACACGACATCCTCTTCTGCGTGGCGTGTGTCTCTCAAACACACACACAACCTTCACACAACACCCACACACACACACACACACAACACACACCCATAAACGCACGCACGATAAATTCAGAGGGCACACACGCTACGCCATAGAAAGTCCTGATACACGTCTTATGTCAACAACCGTCTATTCTCCTGACTGTTTAATACCACAAGATCTTTTTTGCTACCTATCTGAACTTACGTCTTCTCCGTGATGTTTATGAATTTGCGCTGCCTTTCCTCTATATGCATACTGTGAAAGAGCCATAGAATTCTCCGCACCTGCACTCACTTTATTCAATCTGTAAATGAATCTGCGCATCTTCTCCCCATTGTGCGTTCAATGACTAAGACTTACAGCACGACAGGGTATGTAGTGCTCTGCGGATGATGCAACTATATCGTCTCCTGCCCAGCCGTTGAAGATTTAAAAACTCAAACCAATTGCTTAACCTACCGTGAGTCCGACACCTGACGTTTACCCCGGTAACTAAACTTACGCCGTCTTATTTGTGATATACCGAAGGCGTGATTCCCACTCCCTGCGATTGACAGGGATCTATCTTCGTGCCGAGCTATCTCCGGAGTCAATGCGCGCTACTACACCCAATGTTTTTCAAACATCGAAAAAAAAAAAATAGAAAAAGTCATGACGCCCCATGATGAACGATCCGGCGCAGCATGACCAGAGAGTGTGGATCATTTATTGTTCGCGTGCTTTAAAAAACCTGACGCCTTATAAGACATCATGACGCTGGCATGGTTTGTGCCAGGGCGGAAGAGGCGCTTACTAGGTAGGCCTATTGGTTCTGGTGTTGTGTATTGTTGTTTTTTTTCCTATATTATCTGTTTTGCTTGTTTGCTCTTATTTTGTCTATCTATTTTTCGAATTATTTTCCTTCAATCCTTTTCTACTTTCTATTTTTTTGGGGGTGATATCTCTGTGTGAATTCTCTGTCGAAGGGGTGAATCTCTTTTCTCTTCTCTCTGTTTCTATCTTTCTTCGTCTGTTGTCTGTTTCTGTCTCTCTCTCCTCACTCACTCTCTCTCTCTCTCACTCTCCCTCTCTTCTCCCTTTCTCCCTCCCTCCCCCCCCCTCTCTCTTTCTCTCTCTCTCTCTCTCCTCTCTCTCTCTCTCTCTCTCTCTTCTCTCTTCTTCTTTCCTCTTTCAGAAGCGCCATTTCAGCTATTCTAAGGGTATTTTAAGCTATAACCATACCTATAAAATAAAAAACATAACTATAAATAAATAAAAAAAATAATAAAAAAAATAATAATAAATAAAATAAAAAAAAAAAAAAAAATAATGAATAAAATAAATGAATAAATAATTACGAAGTTAAGATTGTGACGACGGGGGGGGGGGGGATGGGGTCACACCTTGAGGAGACCTAACGAAGTGTTGGGTAAGGGACGGGGGGGGTGGGGGGGGGGGGGTTAAGCCTCCCAGCCCCCCCCCTCCCCCCGCCCTAATTAAGGCCCCTAATCCCTTTCCCTTTTTCAACTCCTTCTCCCCCCCCCCTCTCTCTTTCCTCTTTCTCTCCTCTTCTCCTCTCTCCCATTCTCTCTCTCCTTTCCATTCTCCTCTCCTCTCCCTCTCAACTCCCACCACCTTTTTCCCTTTTTCCCTCTCCTCTCCTCTTCTTTCCCCTCTCCTCTCTCCTCTCCTCTCCTCCCCTCTCTATCCCTCTCTTTCCTCTCCCTCTCTCCCCTCTCTCTTCTCATCTCTCCCTCTCCCTTATTCTCCCTCTCCCTCTCCACTCTCTCTATTCTCCCTCTCCTCCCATTCTCCCTCTCCCTCTCTTTTCTCCCATTCCTCCCTTTCTCTTCCCTCTCTCTCCCTCTTTCCCCTCTCTCTCCTCTCCTCCCTCCCCATCTCTTCTCCTGTCCCTCTTGCTCCCCTCT